ATTAAAATATAAAAACATTTTTGAGACGTTATTAAAATTGAAACAGCTCATCAAAGATAACTGTCGATATAGTAGGCCCATTACCCCTTACGGAGTCAGGCAATAGATTTATTCTCACCATTCAGAACGATCTGACAAGATTTTGCCTAGGAAAATCAATCTCTAATGTCGAGTCTTCAACTATTGCTGAGGTCTTAACAGAAATCTTTATTAAGTTCGGAATACCGAAAATATTTGTAACCGATGAGCTAATTAAAGATCTGAGCAAAATATTTAAGACTAAACACGTAACTACAACGCCGTATCGTCCGCAAACTAATGACGCGCTTAAAAGATATCACCTAACTCTTAAAGATTACTGAAAGCATTATATGAAACCCAATCAGGTAGACTGGGATGAATACATCTTGTTCGCAATGTTCAGCTGTAATGTCTCAATACAGAAATCAACAAATTACACGCCGTACGAACTCTTCTTTGGCCGTAAACCATATTTACCTTCCTATAGTATGTTACGTACCAGGTGGTGATGGTGGCGCGTGTCGCGTTTACCGCGCAAGACAGCTGAAAAAATTTCTATATAAATGAATTCTAAAAAATAGTAATAATAATAATAGTAATCGTAATAAGAAATGTTAAGTATAAGGTAAAATGTAGTCGAATGGGAACGAGAGGGAATTTATGGTGGAAGTGTTTATAAGAATAACAAGAATTTATAAAGAATTTGATAAATTTCAAGACAGGATTGTGACACCAGCCCAACTATCTCGAGCAATATCGATGAGGATGTTCCTCGCGCTGTTGAGCAATGTTTAAGAAGTTAAAAGGATGTGAGCGGTCAGAACACGAGGTTCGTACTTCGTCCTCTACAGGGCTTCGGTGGGATACGGAGTGGAAATTAACACATGGTGAAATCAATTGAAATGGCACCACTTAGGAAATTTAAATAAAAATGTATTTAAATGAAATTGTTTTGGAGTGCGATGTTACGGGCTAACAATGATAAAATTAACAAAAATCGGTATTACGGTTTCAAGTACGACAATATGCGACAGGTCACGGTTTTACAATGTTTAATTGTGCTCTCTCTCTCTCTCTCTCTCTCTCTCTCGCTGTCGCTCTCGCTCTCGCTCTCGCTTTACGACGATTTTAATCCTTTTACTTTAGTCCTTAAAATCATCGTCGTCCCCGACAATGTCAGTGAAACTGCTATTATCTTAATGATTCGGTCAGTGTTGGGGTTGCGGACGAAGGCACGAATCAGCGGATCCCCGGTTAGGACATCACATCTACTCATCGCCAGAACGGCAAGTCTATTTTGGCGCTGAATGAGCTCTGCAGCATAATTGAATTTTAAACTATGGCAAGCGTATATGGAAAATTTAATTATTTAATCGTTTAAAACGGACAGACACTTCCCTGTAAGGTTATTGTTGATCGGGTGGATGAATGATGGGGACCTGTTTTCCCTGAAGATTTCCAGTACGTGTAGATCGGTAGGTCCAATGCATTGGCCCAGGTAAAGCTTCTCCAGCTCTGGATGTTAGTGGCTATTTCTCGTAGAGCAATGGGGCGGATGATAACTCCAGACAGGTCCAGGGTGCGGATTATTGATTCATAACCAATTTTGATTGAAGAAGGATGAAGGTTATCGATTAATTAATTAAGTAATGCCCGTTGAATGGGCAGAGCAGGTCGGAATGTTTCAGCTCTCTTTGGGGTGGTCGATGCGGTAGTTCTGACATGTTCGTAAGAACTGGATCGTCTGATTGGTTTGCTAATCGGTTGATGAGGTTGCATTTCGAATTCTTCAGCTCTCTGGCAACGTTGAGGCGTTTGCGCTGTCTGCGTCTGTTGAGGAGGGTTCCGGAGGCTTTCGACAGCTAGGCACGGAAGTAATATAGGAACAATCCCAGTAAGTCAATCTGGATTGGTGGCGTTTATCGCGTTCATGGTTTCCTAGGGTTTCCAATTTTTCCTCTATTTCTTTGAGAGGTATTCCTTCGCTATCCTGAATTTGGTCCATGAATTTGGGGTAACCGATATCGTCAACGAGTTCCAAAACTTTATGTAGTTCTAATTTGGGCAAGATTTCCGAAAGGTTCAGTAGAAAACTAGGATTGTACTCGAGCTGCTGCGAACTTTTGAATATCCTGATTCCATATAGGGTTGTGTGTCGGGTTTTAACGATGCAACTCGGGTCGAAATTCAGGATGCTTGACCCGTGGATGGTGATGAATTTCGCCGGTAGATTTTCGCAGATGATTTGCAGTAATTCCGGACTATTGGTGGAGTAGAGCCATGATCCCGTTGTCTTCAGCTTGATCTAATGTGGATTTTGATGGCGGGTGACGCGTGTGTCGCAGGTCGGAAAGATCTTTTTATTCGGTCGTAATAAGAGTTCTATTTCGCAGGATTTTTACGTAGAGACTTCGATTAATGGTACGTCGGTAGGACATAAGTAGCAATACGCTGTTTTAGTACAAGACTCTAGAAAAGACTGTTTGTCGGTAAAATATGAGTTATGGAGCGCTGATATTCCCAAATAAGGTTCGGTTGGAACTATTCGAGCTGAAATATTTGAATTGTGAGGGATAGCCCAAGAGTGTACTTGATACAGTTGGAATGTTTCAGAGTCTACAAGTGGTACATGAAGGGTAAACAGAACTCTTCGGTTGTAATATCCATAATCTACACGAGCAATTTTGGAAATTTCTTCTATTCTTCTATGAGCACGCGGAATCGGGACCTCGAATTTGGTTTCTGAGGTCTGAATTTCATCTAAAATGGTTTTCAAACTATGTCTATCAAGTAAGGTATGGTGAAATTTACCCTCTCTTGCTGCGTTTATTGCAGCGATAAAATTTTGTTCGGTTTTTATTATTTGACTCAATCCCAACTCGAGAGAGTTCGCGTAATTTGTTAATTCCAAAGTGTAACGTAGTATTTCTTCAACATGTTCAACCCGGTCTAGTCTATTGGCTATTTCTTTTGTTTTGTTTAATGTTCTTACAATAGCTAGGTTGTTCTCCGCTATTGCTTTGTGTATCTTATGTAAACTGCTTCTAACTATATGTGTTTGATTCTTAATCAATTTGGTTATTTCGGATAGACGAGTTATTAAATTTTGCAGATATGAACTGTAAGTTTCCAATTTCTCTTCGAAAGGGAATGAGGTGGGCCAACGAGCAGTTTTGCCAAATATTAACTCGTACGGTGTGAGATTGGTGGCTTCGTGAACGGAGGTGTTATATGAAAACATTGCAAACGGTACTATTTGGTCCCAATCGTAAAATTCGCCTAGGTAGTGACTAATATATTCGGTTAAAACTATGTGGCTGCGTTCCAGGGAACCGTTCGTTTGGGGTCGATAACCGGAAGTAGTTACGTGTTCAATTTTGAAGGTTTTTGCCAGATTCTTAATTAGTCTATTGATAAAACTGGTTCCTTTATCTGTTAAGATGACTCGTGGGGATCTGTATTGTAGTATCAAATTCGTCACAAGAGCATGTGCAACGGTCTCAGCTTTTATATCGGGAATGGGTACGGCAATGCAGTATTTTGTCAGATTGTCCTGCATCGTAAGGATGTGTCTATTGCCGCTAGGTGTGGTAGGTAAGGGTCCGACTGTATCCAAGAATACTTTATCGAAAGGTTCTAACGGTGTATCTTGATAGTGGCTGATTCCAGCGCCCAATGTATACAGTTTCTGCTGAGTGCTCCATGTTCGCCCCCGCAATTCACGCATTGTGGCTTCCTGTCACAGTTACCGTGGTAAGTGTCACCACATATAAAGCACATTTTAACATCTCTTCTGCATTTTTGTTTAAAATGTCCATACTGCAGGCAATTAAAGCACTGTTTCATCGCCTTGACATATGGGGTTATATTAAAACTTATGACCCCATCATATATACTTATTCTCGTTGGGAGCGAGTCTCCTGCAAATTTTAATAAAATCAAACCTGTCTCCTTATAGTCCGTTTCTTTTTCTATTTTAACACGTTTTTTAGCCTTTCGGCTGAAATTATTCCCTGTCCCTCCTCTGCGTCTTGGAGAAGTTCGGCTGGCGAAAACTCCCATTCCCTCGTTACACCCCATCTTTCCTTTGCTCTAGATGGGATCTGGATTTCTATGTTGTCTTTATTCCTATTTTGTAACTCCTTTACTATTGTCTTGCCCCGATACGGATCTTTGAACTTTATCTCTGCTCCTCTATATGTAATCATTCTTATCGATTCAATCTGTGAACTAAATGTGCTTACGTTTTTAAATATTCTTATGTAGTTTACTTTTTTAATTTTTGACGCTTCCTTGAAGTCAATTATACATTCACAAAATTTGAGATAGTCAGCTTGTCTGATATTTACTTCTTCCTCATCTTGGTTGATTCTATAAAGTTCCGTTAGTTTGATACTCTTACCTGTATTCTTTGTTATTACCGCTTTATCACGTGCGTCTTTATATCCTTTATCCCTTTTGTAACTGTTGGTATTATAATTACTGTTTTTTCTAGTTTCTTCCTTTTCTGTAGACCTTTTCCCTATGCTTTCTTTACTTCTCATTTTTTCTCTTTCAACGTAGTTCTTCGGTTTTCTTGTTCTGACCTCGTGCTTATGCGTCGCTTCTTCGTGTGTTCTGTTACTTTGTTCTATTCTTCCCCTTCTCTGTACTTCCGCCCATTCTTCCTCGCTCTCAGTCACATCCGGTGATCTGTTCGCCACCTTACGTTTCTGTAGAGTTCCACTGTCAAATCTTCCTATAATTTCCTCCACTCTCATATTTATTAGCCTAGGGAGTTTTTTATTCCCTATACCTGCCATGTTTCTTCTATTTATACTCCTTCCCCAGGGCTCCCCCACCACTATCCCCCCGGAAAGAGCAGCCCCTTTCCTGGGAGAAAAGCTGGTTTTCCACTCTTCCTGCACTTGCGCTTTCCTTTTCTGCTCTTGCGCGCACACGCACCTACCACTACGAGGCGATACACTTTCTTCCTGTGTCCGGACCTATTTACCACGTTTTTGGACTCAAAACCATTCTCCTATTCGCTTCCCAACTCAACCCGCCGGCGCCATGCTCGCCACTCGCCACTGATACTCGAGATCGTTCGTTATTCTGTAATTCTGTCTTTATTAAAATGGTAAGGTGTTACAGCCCTTGTTTCACTACTATGTGATTCTTATGTCTATAGTCGTCTCTCATTCTTTTTACATACTTTCATGCCTAGTATTTATAAGTTATTGTCTATTTTTCTCATTCCTTATTTCATATATTTTACCCTGTTAATACATGACTAATCTATACTCGAGGTTTCTTTCAAATTCTAATATCAAATTATATTATTGCCTTTATCATTACGTTATTTGTTTTGCTTATCGTTATCCTAGCGTCTAGTTCCGTTCAGTTTTTTGGTTTGTACCTGTTTCAGTCTCGTTGGTTATAACTTTTTCCTGATAAGTTTCAGAAATTGGTCTATCGTCTTAAAGATTCTACGTTTGTTTAGTTTTATAAGGGCTATGGTGGATTTGCCCACTTGAGCTATGTCCGGGCCTAATTTATCCCAGATCATCGTTCTTTCTAGGTTATACAATCCGCAGTCAAATATAACGTGTCGTCTATATTTTCCTCTTCCTGACCGCAATCACACATGGGATCTTCGATAATATTTTTCTTCGCCAGAGAGACCTTCAAGTTGTAATGATTGCATCTAATTCTGGATATTGTTCTTATGGTGTCCCTGTTCAAACAGTTCTTGAATTTCTGAAACCATGGTATATACCTGGATCTCTTATAATCCATTCCTATTTCATTCATGAATAGAGCTCATTTCTCTCTTTCTAAATCTGTCATTTTCTCTTTAAATTTGTTCCAAAACGATTGTTTTAATTCTGTGATTATCTCCTTATCAGGAACTCTCATCGTTTGTGATTTCGCTTCTTGATCTGCTAACTCGTTGCCATGTATTCCTGTGTGTCCTGGTATCCATCCGATGATTATCTTCCTTTCCCTTTCTATTTTTCCTAGTTTCCAAGTGTCAAGGATCCATTGGTTGTCTCTGGATTCTCTATATTTTATGTTGATGCTCTTTAACGCTTCTATGGCTGACATAGAGTCGGTGAGTATAAGACAGTTCGTGTATTCTTGGTTGTTGAGAAACTTTTTACGAGAAATCGTAAATAAATTGCTTATTGCTATTCGTTCTGTTACAGTTGTATCGTTGTTTATTAAAATAGTTCCTATTCCATTTGACATACGTTCCGGAATTTTGCTTCCATCTGTGAAAAATACAATGGTATTGTCTGTTATATTGTGCGTAAATTTGAAAAATTCCACCGTTCTTGTTATTGGTATCTGTTTATTCTCTATTATTCTTCCTGTGTTTGTGTCTAGTATCATTCCTCTGTTTTCTGTCTTTGATTGTTCTATGTAGAAGATCCACTTCCAATATTCAAATCTCTCGTTAAATCTCTTTTGAGAATAATGTCCTTGTATTTTGTTGTAGTTTTGAATGCCTTCTCCGATAGGTTATTGGCGATATTTACATTCCCTCTTCTTACACCTTCTTGGGAGAAACCTGATTTATTATTAATTTCATTGAATAATTTTAATGTAGGATTCTGCATTATACCTTTTTCCATCTAATTAATCCAGTATTTGCACGAGAAAAATGTTACTCTTTCTCTGTGGCCAATCCATCCAGCCTCTGGGTACATCACGTTTAGTGGAGTGGATATTCTGTATCCTATCGCAGTTCTGATGGCTTTCGATTCTAATTTCCTTAGTTCCTCTTGTAGGATTTGTTGTTTTGTCGCATTCATGTATATGGAAACCCTATATTCCATCACTGATGTAATTTTGTTTGATGCCTTTCTCTCCATGACATAAGTAGTTGATAATGTCTAGTCTTTTCCTGACTTTCCTGATTACGTCCTGATATTGTAAATTGAAGTTTAATTTATAGTCAATAGTTACACCTAAGAATTTTGCATGATGAGCTATTTCAATAGGGACTATTTGACCATTTAACCTTACCATGATATTGTTTTCACTTGGATGTTGCTAAAGAATAGTGTTTTTGTTTTTTCTATCGAGAGTTCTAACTTCCTTTCCTTTAAAAAGTCTCGAAATTGTGATATTCCCTCTTTTATCCTTATTGAGGTTTGGTCTATGTTCTTTCCTTGAGTGATTATTGCAATGTCATCTGCATATTTGACGAATTTTACCTCTTCTATATTAATCTTTTCGTTTATCCTGTAATGTACATGTTAAATAAAATCGGGCTAATAATCGATCCCTGTAGGACCCCGATCCTCCAAGGAATTATATTTTCTATCCCTTGTGTAGATTTTATTTCAACCGTACGATCCTCTAGCCATACCTTTATCCAGTTCCATATTCTAACAGGACAGCCATTCTTTTTAAGAATTTCCAATAGAATGTCGAAATTTACGTTGTCGTAGGCTCCTTTTATGTCAATGAATGCTGTAGCAGATTTTAGATTTTCCCTTGCATTCTGTTTCACTTGAGACACCACCTGGTTCAAGTTGTCGATGGTAGATCGTTTTCTCCTGAATCCAGCCTGCGTTTCTTCTATTATTTTGTACTGTTCCGCTCACAATGTTAACCTGTTATTTATTAATTTCTCCATAATTTTTTCCGGACAGGAGGTCAGGGTAATCGGTCTTATTGTAGCGTTACCTGCTACAATAAGCTTGTCGATAAAACAGAGTCTTCCTATCTTCCAGTCGTTCGGGATTATTGTATTTTTCCAGCTCTCTTTGACAATTTCGCAATAGGCTTCTTTCAAGTACGAAGGTAGTTCGCTCATCGTTCTATAGTCTATTCTCTCATCCCCTGAAGCTGACGTTTTATTCCTTGAGTTGTTTATTGTCATGATGATTTCGTAATTTTCTATGTCCTTTTCCCAAATATAGTATAGAGAATTCATGTCTATGTTACCTGTCGAGTTATTTTCGCATGTGATACCTGCAACAGTTGTATTTTTGTTTTTTAGCTTGATAATTTCAGCCTCTTCTAATTCCGTCCTCCTTCGTGGGTTTAATGCCGAATTTTCCTTTATAAAGAAATTTTGAATACCTTTAGCTTTGTTCCAAATTTTCCCTATATCTTTCTCCTTGGCTATTTCTTCTGTTAACAAGGTCCATGCCTTTTCCTTCTTGTGTTGTTTTAGTTCAGTCCATTTTTTCCTATTGTGTTCCGTAATTATAAAATCCTCCATGTTTCCTGTCTTCCAAACGTTGTTCATACTTTTCTTCCAGCTCTCCCATGCTTCTTTGCATTCCTCATCCCACCAGGATTTTTTATTCTTATTGTGATTAGGTTTTTTGTTGTTTGGACGATTTTGTAACCGAGTCCTTATTCCCTTGCTTCTTTTGATATTTGATCGCTTCTTGTGCTCTTCATCTATATTATTAAAGGTTTCTATTATACACTGTTTCCATATATTGCATTTTTCGGTAATGTCATTTGTTACTTGAAAATCCTGGATAAACTTACTTTTTCTTGATTCGAGACGTTCTCTGAACTCTATCCAATCCATTCCTTTTCTTTGGTTGTATAATCTGTTGTTAATTTTGTTGACGTTGTACCTTGAATTTAATCCGAAGTCTTTGTTAGAGTATATTTGTAAATTTAAGATTTGATGATCTGAACCTAAACATATATTGGTTTCCGAGTATTTAATGCAGCTGGCTAAATTAGGGCGTGAAATAATTAAGTCAATATTTGATTCAGTTGTACCTGTCCCATGTCTAGTCGTCGTGTCCGTGTTATGTACTATCAGGTCCCAGGTGTCCATTTCTTTTTCTAACGAATTTCCCGATTGATCAGTATTCGTGGAATTCCAGTACGTATTTTTAGCATTTAAGTCGCCTATTATGAAAGTTTCATCTGTAATTTCAATGTCAGAGAAAAGGTTTGCCCAATCCCTTCTACTAAAGTGGTTTCTCGTGTTTCTATAGCAAAATGTGTTCGCGAACTGGTGTTGGGTTTGCGCGGACTACAGAAATGAATGCTCTCGGCCTTGGTTGTAGTATAAAAACGTTTATTCTCGTCTATTCATAAAATAAGTCAAATCGAGGTGTTAATGAGATGGCTTAAGAGCTACCCGTCAACAATGAGTCGTACTATCGATGCGTGAGCTGACGGTTGATGAAGAACGCTGTTCTGTGGTCTTCTGAGCTGGCTCCACCGCCTGGCGCAGTTAATATGTAAATTCTTCCGCCGGTGGTCGATGAGTAGATTCTTTACAGAGCTGAACTTTCACCTTAACGCACTCCGGAGTGAGCTTATCCAACAATTTGAGCTCCACTTGAGATAGACAGAGCGAAATATATAAAAATGCTATGAGCGATATGTTGGCGTTGAATGCTAGATTCACAATAGCGGCTCAGCGCACGTGGCGCGAGCATGCGGCCGTTGCGCGTTCCGAAACTCGGCCGAAATCTTGTCTGCTGGACAAAAGCGCCCGCTGTCGATCGATGACTGATCGATGGGATGCCGGCAGCCTCCCGGCGCGTCATTTGAAAGCCGATTCGCAAACATGCTATTGGAAACAGGACGGTGTCGTCGCAATTTAATATATCAAATTTGATACATTCTATCTCGAACGGAATATATTTTTCTTTTGTGAATTTTATACTTAATTCATCTCTATATATAACTACCAACCCTGTTCCTGGAGTTCCATGAGTTTTTCTTCTGTTCGTGGTGGGAATATTATTATGTCTAATACTGTATCCTTTTATATTTTTGATTGGAAATTTTTTTAACCAAGTTTCGCATATACATACTATATCAAAGTCGTCAATTATATTTAATAGGTCATTGCTTTTCTTTAACCCTTTGCTTACGGCAGTACGCGCCGCGGAAGTGACACCACTGAACGGGGCATCGCGCCGCGAAATGTGCCGCACTCATACACACAGGTCATCCCGTGGGCCCCGCGGTCAGCTGTAGTTGGACCCGTACACACAGGACGTCGCACGGCCACCGACTATAGTCGGCACCCGTACACACAGGTCATCACGCGGCCGCCGACTATAGTCGGCATCCGTAAGGAAAGGGTTAAAAGGCTGTGTGCATTCCAAATTCCTAAATTCACATTATTGCACATATTCGGTACCTGGGGAATTTATATAAATAAGTGAACTTCGTCCAGTTAACTAATTAGTTGACTGAAACTATTGTTTATATCAATATTATTATATTATCTTGTTGGCTTTTGTCTCTTTTTTAAAGTTGGAAATTATTTCTTTGATCTTAAACCTTAGTATATTTCTAATTTTCTCTTATCTTTATATTTAGCTGCTTTTATATTAAAATCTGACTATCTTATGAATTGATTTGGTATTGTATTTAACTTTATCTATTCTTACTTTTAGTTTCTTTTTTCTTAGAGTCTGAGAATATCGGATTTACTAACAAGCTCGACTTACCCCGTATGGTTGAGTTCTTCATCCCAGGTGATTCCTCCGTCTGGGTAGTCGTTGTTTTCATCGTTTGTGTTATTTGTCTTCCCGTTTTCTATCGATTTGACTCCTTCTGCGTCATAATTCCTAGATCCTCGTTCATGTTTACTATCACTGGACTGACAGGATTTTCTAATTACACAGTCTTCTTTCTCTTCTATTTGTGTTTCATCCTCATCCACTTCGAGCTCTTCCTCTCCTTGAGAATCCAGAATTACTGTATCTTCAGCGTCTGTCAAAGCGTTTTCTATTGGGGTGCCTTCCCAATCTTCCTCCAACATGAGAACATCTTGAATAATTTGCACTGTGTTGCTATCTCTTTCTTCCTTGATTTCTCCAGGAATTCTGAGTTCCTGTTCCTTCTCTTTATAATCTGGTTGTTTGAGCGTCGATGCTCATCCTTCGTACTTGTCATTCTGTTCTTATCTTTTGTATACGTTTTCTTTCCTTGTTCTCTCGTAAGTTTTGCCAAAGCGAAAGATTTCCTTGCTTTTCTCTTGCTTTCTGTAATTGAAACTGTCATTATCCCTAGTGGTTGTGGGTGTATATTTTGAAAGGTTAAATTTAGGGTTCTCGGGCCCCTTGTCCACCCTGATTTTTTGGTGTTACTTCCTCGTTCTCCAGTAATCTTCATCCTCTCTGTCTATTCTCCTCGGGTGCCAGATCTTTCTGTTGCAATTGATTTTGTTTATGACAAAGTCTTCAATTTTGCACTCTTTGATCCAATCAAGCAATGGTTGGATGTCTTGTCCAGTTATGTTCGTTTTCTTCCAGTCCTCCGTGGAGGGTTCCTTCCCTCTTTTGGAAAAAGTACAATAACTCTTGTAATTTCTATCGTTAGGGTCTCTATAGTAGGCCTCCTGAGGGTACGGATCACCCTCTGGTTCATTCGTTTCCTCCCACCTGTCTTATCTGCGTCTATTTTAATTCGTTTGTCCTCTTTTCTTCTTCCCTCTTTTTCTAGTACGCGTTTTTAATGGAACACTCTTTTTCTTCCCATTTCTCAATTTCTTCTTTTCTAAATCTATATCTGTCACCTATCTTGGGAAATTCTCTTTCGTTATATAAATACCCGTTTTCTTATCTTGTTCTGTAGCTTTCTCCTCGCCTTTCTTAGATGCCGAGCTCCTTCTTGGCTAATTCTCTAGCCTCGGTATACGATACGTTTTTATACGCAATTAGTTTATTGACAGCGTGCTCGAGCTGCCACATAGCACAGTCCCTACTGAGTGCACTGTGCACTTCAGCACAATTTATACACTTTTTGTCCTTTCTGCACTCTCCATGAAACTCCTCTCCGCAATTGAAGCATGATCTGTTCGTTGCCTTGCAGAATTTCTTAAAATGCCCAAATCGTAAACAGGAGAAACACTGTCTGACATTTTTTATGTACGGTGTCATCCCTACACTGGTTAACCCATTATAAATAACTATCCTCGTTGGTAAACTGTCTCCGTTAAACTTCACCAAGAGGAGTGGTGAGTCTATGTAGTCGTATCCGCTATCGACTTTTACCCTTTTCTTCATTCTTTTGATAGAACTTATACTTTGTCCGGGAATAGCGACTTCTTCCAGCTCTTTCGGGGAGAACTCCCAATCTCTTACCACTCCCCATCTCTCAATTGCCCTTTTGGGTATGCGTAGAGTCATGTTTTCAAACTTTTTATCAATTAGTCTGTTAAAGGTAATTCTCCCTGTAGGGGGAAATTTGATTTTAGTTTCCGCCATCCTTGTATTTATCATTTCAATTCTTTTTATATTCTCATACTCACTTGAGAGAGTTCCAAAAATCCTTAAATAATTAATTTTTTTACTTTTCGAAGAGTTCTAAATAGTTCTCTTCGTTATATCCTTCAGAAGATTCGCTGTTCTGAGATTGATTAATCTCCTCCTCATTTAGACTTTTTAAATAGCGAATTTTATTTTCCACTTCCACGTGGTCGCGCACGTGTGCTTTGCTACCTAAATTTTTGTAAAACTGATTAATGCAAATTCTCGCTCTCTCCTTTTCTGCATTTTTACCGTCCTCATTGATAATTCTCCACGACTTTCTTTTAATTTTATTTTGAATTTCGCAATCTGTATTTTCGCTTTTATGTTTTCCTATGACTCTTCTTTCACTTTCAACGGTTTTCTCTGAACTGGCATGCTGCGCAATACTGCCCCTTCTTCCACTTTCGAATCCTCTGTTAGATCCTCTATTTTGAGGGTTCCTTTCCGCTTCTGTCGGCGGGATGTTATTTTCTGGTTTCCGTATCCTGTTTCTTGACAAGTCACTAGCTCCCTCTGTTTCCTTTCTGAATTCTCTAGAGTCGACTAGGCTGAGGAGTCTTTTCCTCTAAAGTTTTTATCCCCTATGATCTCCTTCTTTTCTGCTTCTTATCTCGTGACCACCATTTTTTATCTTTTTTTCCACTAGATCTTACTATAACCTCACTTTAGTTTACTAATCCTTTTAAGCAACTTATTTTTTTATTGCACATAAGCTATGCTCCACCTTGACTTCCATAGCTTCCCTCAATGCGGTGCTCAATACTCCACACTTTATCTCACCTTTAAAATATCATTAAATTTCAAATTCATCCAGATTATTCAACACTTAAACTTTCACATCTCTCTTTCGCCATTGTTTTGCGAGTCCCGAGATCGTTTGTTCAGTTTTCAGTTTCTTTATTTAAGGTGCATCCGATAGACTCTAGACAAAAGCACCGGTCGTTATACTGTTACAATTACTGGTTAACATGTCGCTTTACAAAAAAAAAAAAAAAATGTTTTTACATTTGAGTTTTCTTATTTATCTACTTACGTGCTACGTCTTGTCTTTTTATGAGAAATATGCGCATACCGGCTTTGTTAAGGTTTAAGGTTGTGAATATTACATTTAGGATAACGTTAAATAGATTTAAATTTATTAATTAATTTAATACAATTAAAATATCATTTGACTAATTACTCGCCAGTTAATGACGTAACAAAACGTCGAGCCTCGCGCCACGCGTGGTTGCGGCGACCGCTAGTCATCGATGGATCATTCTTATCCAAAACATCGAAAGTAATACACGTTTGTCTTTTCACCTCTAACAACGCGCCTATCGCTTGTGCTCGAACTGTAACGACGATATTCGCTTCGATTTCGACGTATCGCGTGGAATTTATATGCCGATCGAGAATTCCATCGCGGAAACGGAGTTAATAAAGTTATGTGTGACAATCGAGTGAGTTAATTTTCTTCTTTAACAAACTATAATTTCCACAAACTTCCTGCATATCCTTGTCAGGATAGACTAATAGACTATCGAAAACTGAATTAACAATTATAAACAATACTTATTTCTATGTTACATTAATACTTGTACTTATACATGTGTTTAATATTTAATCCTTTGTATCACAAGTTATTTCAATATTATCACAGTGTAGATTGGGTATACTAGCGTTTTTGGAATGATTTAATTGCTTATAATTTAAGTTTTGTTTGCTTAGTTTGCGTACTTTCGATCACATCAATCATACACACGTATTGCAGCGCTGATTGCCTGTGATGCTTTACTCACGCTACTTATTGCTATGTATTATTACATGTAAAATTTTTTTTTATAAAATAAAGGACTATTGACTCGCTCCCTTGCGAAATTTAACCTTATCTAAGCGTATATTTTTTTGTTTGACCTTTCTTTGTATTCTATTTGTATAGTATATAAAAACATTTGCGAACAGTTTCTTATATTTAATTGAGGAACTTTTTTGTACTAATTTTTTTTTTAATATCACGTATCCTAAACCTACTATAATCAGTCTGTTTCCTACTCCGTCTGTGATGTCCCACGGTAAGTCTTTTTTCTTTTTTTTTTCTTACTCTTACTTTTACTTCGCTATATATTCTTGTTGATTTTTCTCAAGAATTCGACTATTACCTTATATATTTTTATTTTGTTCATTCTTATGAGGCCGTATGTTGATTCTCCGACCTTTAGGATTTCCTTTTGTAGGATTAATTTAAGCGACGGTGGTTTTATTGGTTTATTAGTTTATTCAGCTACAACAC